AATGGTAAGGAAATTATGATGAACTGAAAAAGAACTGAAAAGTAGTGTGAAGGGCAATCGTATTGTGATAAAGATGATTAGAAACTGAAGTGAATTATTGTTCAAAGACAATACACAGCACTTTTGAGGAATCTGCAAAGATCAGTTGGAGCAAGCACTGAGGATTTAAAATATGCTTTATCGTTAAAGGGCAGTATTGTGATATGGGATGTTAGAATCATAGGTAGTTCATAGTGTCATACAGCATAGCCCACCATGTCTATGCCAATCAACAAATACCAAACTACACTAATCCCATTTACTTGCACTTGATCCATAGCTTAATATGCTCTGGCATTCATCCAGATGCTTCTTAAGTGTTGTGAGAGTACCTGCCTTTACCACCCTCTCAGGCAGCATGTTCCATACTTCCACCACCCTCTGGGTGGAATTTTTTTTTTCTCGGATCTCCTCTGAACCACTTATTCCTCATCTTAAACCTGTGCCTTCTGGTCTTAGACACATCTGCCATTGGGGAAAAGATTCTCACAATCTACCCTGCCTGTGTCTCTTATATTTTTATATACCTCAATCATATCCCCTCTCAGCCTCCTCTGCTCCAAGAAAAACAAACCCAACCTATCAGCCTCTCCTCGTATCTGAGATTTTTCATCCCAGGCAACATCCTGGTGAATCTTCTCTGCATCCTTTCCAGTACAATCATGTCTTTTCGAGGTGACCAGAATGCACACAGTATTCCATCTGTGGCCTAGCCAATATCTTATAAAGTTGTAACAAGACCTCGTTGATTCTATGTTGCATGCCCCAGCTAAGAAAGGCAAGCATCCCATATGCCTTCTTCACCACCTGTATTAACACCTTCAGGGATTTATGAACTCGTACGCCAAGTTCTCTTTGTTCGTCAGTACTCCCTACCATTCACTGTGTATGTCCTTCCCTTATAAGCCCTCACAAAATACACCAGCTTGCACTTCTCAGGATTAAATTCCATCTGCCATTGTTTTTCCCAGTTTACCAGTTGATCAATGTCAGACCATAGCTTGACACCATCCTCCTCACTGTCAACAACAGCACCAATCTTCATGTTTTCTGCAAGCTTACTAATTATACCTTCTACATTCACTACCAAGTCATTAATGTACATTATAAACAACAAAGGTCCCAACACCAATCACTGTGGTACATCACTTTCAATCACAAAAACTACGCTGACAATCACCCTTTGCCTCCTAGTTGCAAACCACTTTTGGATTCAGTTTGCCAACTTGCCATGTATCCCATGGGTTCTTACCTTTTGGACCAGCCTTTCAAGTGGAACCTTGGTCAAAGGTCTTACTGAAGTCCATGTAAACCACATCAACTGCACTACCCTCATCAATGTATTTAGTCACCTTTCCAAAAATCTCATTTAAATTAGTCAGACAGGATCTCCCGATAATAAATCCATGCTGACTATCCCTGATCAATCCCTGTCTTTCCAAGTGCTGATAAATTCTGTCCCTCAAAACTTTTGCCAATAATTTCCCTACCTCTGACATCAGACTAACTGGTCTGTAATTACCTGGCCTATCCCTGCTCCCTTTCTTGAACCAAGGAACCACATGAGCTATCCTCCAGTCATTCGGTACTTCACCTGTGGCCAACTAAGTATTAAATATCTGCACCAGACACCAGTAATCTCCTCCCTTTGCCTCCCATAGCAGCCTGGGATCATCATACAGGCACTGGAATTTATGCAACTTTATACCTGCTAAAGCATCTAATAACTTCTCCTTATTAAACTTAACATGTTCTAGAACCTCACTATCCTAACTCTGTGAATACAGATGAGAAGCATTTACATGAGACTTCACCAATGTTCACGAGCTCCATGTCAGATTACCTCTTCGGTCTCTCATAGGCCCCACTCTTTCCCTGGTAATCATCTTACCCTTAATATACTTATAAAATGCCGACTACTTTTCCTTAATCCTATCTGCCAAAGATATTTTGTGCACCCCATTGCCCTCCTAATTTCTTTTTTGAGCAACCCCCTACATTCACTATAGTCCTGAAGGGCCTCCCCTGTTTTTAATGCATTGTACCTGATACGCGCTTTCTTTTCTTTCTTTATCAAACTGTAAATATTCCTTGACATCCAGGGCTCCCTGGACTTGCTGCCCTTGCCCTTCACTCTTAGAAGAAAACACTGGTCCTGAATTCTCACTACATAGTTTTTAAAAATATTCCCACTTTCCAACTGAAGACTTAACTGCAAGTAGCTGCTCCCAGTTTATAATTGCCAGATCCTATTTAATGATATTGAAATTGGTCTTCTCCTAATTCAATGTTAGCAAAGTTGAAATGCCCCACAACTATAACCATATGTCTCTCGTATGATTTTGTGTTTTGCCTACATATTTGCTACTGTATCTCTCACTGACTATTGGGAGACCTGTAGTATAATCCCAGCAAAGTAATTATCCCTTTTTAAATTCATAAATTCTAACCAGATGGCCTCATTTTAAGACCCTTCTAGGACATATTCCCTCATTATTGCAGTGATGGTTTCCTTTATCAATAATGCAATGCACCAACTTCTTTTACATCCCCCACCATCGTGCCCAAAACTCCTATACGCTGGAATATTGAGCTACCAGTCCTATTCTTCCTTCAACCATGTCTCAGTGATTGCAACAATATCATATTACCACATGCCAATAACTTGCTGTAAATTCACCCACCTCACCAGTCAGGCTTCTTGCATTAAACTTCATGATGCTACACTTCTCTGGCTTCCACTCTAAACATATTAAAAAAGCCATCCCCTACTAACAAGCTGTATGCATACACAGGATCTGCTCAGAGGAGGAGGAATTCAACAGACACCTGAATATGTTGAAGAATGCCCTCATAAGAACAGGATATGATGCTCAACTCATTGATTGCCAATTCCGTCGTGCCGCAGTGAGAAGACCTTGTCAGAAGACAGACACGAGATACGACCGATAGGGTACCTTTCGTTATCCAGTACTTTCATGGAGTGGAGAAACAACGCCATGTTCTTCGCAGCCTTCAACAGATTATTGATGACGATGAGTACCTCACCACAATCATGCCTATGCCTCCACTTCTCGCCTTCAAACAACCGCCAGACCTTAAACAGGCCATTGTTCGCAGCAAACTACCAGCCTTCAGGACAACATCGACCACAAAACCACACAACCCTGTCATGGCAACCTCTGCAAGACATGTCAGATCATCGACACGAATACTACCGCCACACCTGGGAACACCACCCACCGTGTACACAGCAGATACTCACGTGACTTGGCCAACGTTGTCTATCTCATACGCTGCAGGCAAGGATGCCCCGAGGCATAGTATATTGATGAGATCATACAGACGCTACGACAGCGGATGAATGGACACCGCACAACGATGACCGGACAGGGGTGTCCTCTCCCAGTGGGGGAACACTTCAGTGGTCAAGGACATTCAGCCTCCGATCTTCGGGTAAGCGTCCTCCAAGGTGGATTTTGGGATACACAACAACGCAAAATCACTGAGCAGAGGCTGAAACCCCACTTCCATACCCATGAGGATGGCCTCACTTGTGATCTTGGGTTCATGTTGCACTACAGTTGACCCCACAACACTATATACTCCCACACACACACTCACGCACATGCACACATACTCACACACTCTTACACAACACTCACACACTTACACAGACCCCCTCTCCCTCTCTCTCACTCACACACACACACACGCTCTCTCACACACACACATTCCCTCACACTCGCACTGTCTAAAGCACAGACACGCACACACACTCTCTCTTTCTTACACATGCGAGCATGCACGCGTGCACGCATACACACACACAGAAGCACAGACATACAGAGAAACAGACACACGTGCATACATAGACACAGACATACAAATGAATTATTTCATCCATGATGTTTATGTAGTTGCAGATACATTCTGTTTTGCTCCAAAAAAACCTGACCCCAGTTTAAAACATAGACAGATTCTAAGCAAGACCTCAAACTTAAAATAACTTGTCTGACCTGGGATGTCACCTCTTGTATACATTGATAAAATCTTTAATTATCTCAGAAGAATGACTTGAGAGGAATCTAGATTTTGCATGTCAGTCAGTAGTCTCCTTCCTAACTGATTAAAGATTCAACAAGAGGCGGTCAGTTTTAGGGTTGTTATCTTTCTGCTTATGAATTCTGTGTCTTATTTCCTCTCTTTCACACTACGCCTGAGGAAGGAGCTGAGCTCCGAAAGCTTGCATTTTCAAGTAAACTTGTTGGACTACAACGTGGTGTCGTGTGATTTTTGAGCTTAAAATAGATAGAATTTAGCTTTCTGAACCTCCCATGTGTCTTATCCTGCCATGTCTTCTACGCCTACTGGACTGTTCTTGTATTCCTTCTGTGCCTGATTGGACCTTGTTCCCACTTTACATCTGCGCTGTGCCCAATCCGCTGTCAAATCAGTTCAAAACCTCCCCAACAGCACAAGCACACCTCTGCAGCAAGGGAGCGATATTGATCATCATTTGGTCATTTTAGGAGGATACATTTCCTCAAAGAATTTTAGTAGCTTGTTTCATTACCATCATAACATATTGTTAAAAAAAACCACAAAAACAGTTAGGCAAATTTAAAAAAAAAGTTGGTGATATTTAAATTTTAAATAAGATTTAGCAAGTACATAGGCATTATTCCAGTGATAAAAGTTACAACCAGGGCAGAATCTAACCAGGGGGCCGAATGATTATGGTCAGCATGGACTGGTTGGACCGAAGGGTCTGTTTCCATGCTGTATGACTCTATGACATGGGCTATGCAAAGACTGTGGCAGAGTCATGTGAGATGTCCAATGAGGACTATCTTGACAGGAGCAACTAGGTGCACCTTTTATGTACTTTCTTCTTTGCAGGTGAGAAGTAACAGAACATAATAATCATCAGTTTTAATTTTTACTTTTCTCTCTTTAAGGGAAAGAGATCACCGCAGAAAATTTTATGGAAAAGCTGGATAATGGAGCACTTCTCTGTCAGCTTGCACAAACATTACAAGAGAAATTCAAAGAAAATAGTAGTGAAAACAAAGCTGCCAAGGTAAGAGATGTATCATAGTTCAGAATTTTTTTTATTGTTAACTTTCACCCATAGCACAAGACTGTTTGGGTGCCATAGACAATTACTGTTATGCTGGGATAGTGTATCAAGATAAGTAATTGTTTTTTATCTGGATTTCTCTGTCATTTCAGGTATATGACATGGAAATAGGTAGTTTGCAGCTAAACTGCTACTGCTATTTACCAGCATTTGCAGATCCTTTGTGGAGAGGCTTAATCTGTAAATAATAAAAAATGAAGAAAATTTAATATTTGCTTGTGATCCACAACACACCAGATCTGCAAATGTATAAAATACCAGGAATTCCAATCCAATGCATCAGAAACTGTGTTAAAGTTTGTAACTGGTTATTCTCAATTTTTAAGAGAATGTTTGCAGGACTCCTAAGGGAAATCTTACCTTTCCTTTCTGCAGATCAGGAGTTCCTTTCTGATTTTCCACTATAATTAAAATGTAATGATATAGAATCAGCAGTTACTACGAATGATGCCATTAAAACATATTGCCATTAAGTTGGCATTAATAGTTCATTAAATGTATTCTTATACCAACTGCATACATTTTATATATATTTCATCTATAGAAAACTTCTACAACAGAAAGTCTATAAATTTGTAGGTACAACGAAAGACTGGAGATTGTAAAATGTTGGCTGAGCCATTTCCAAGGATGGCCCCCATAGCAGCATGCTTATAAGCGTGCCAGCACAGATATGTCATGCATGTAGTAGAAACATGTAGAATGGATAGATTACTCACTCAGATCCTAACGTAGATGTGGTTTCTGAATTGCCATATTGAACTTCTCTTAGACACCCACAGCTGCATGATGATGAAAGAAATTGCAAATGAAGAGCTTTTTCCTTTCTTTGGCTGCCACAGGGTGATTGGAAATACTGTGTTTCAGTGTTGGAGGAGTTCTGAAAAGTTA